GGCTTTGTGTTATGTTGTTTAACCTCTTCATAACATTTGGAATGACCTATTACTTAGTGCTGTTTATAAAGGAGGTTATTAAATTGATTGATGCCCTGTCACTGTAGCCTGTTTTCTTTGCTTCAGTTAGTCTATGCCTCCTGACAATACAAAACTGTTGGCAGTGAGGTGTAAATTGTTGGACTTAGTGGATGTAGCCCTGTTAGAAGTAACTTACTGTAACTTCCGCTAAGTCAAGTTAGGTCAGTCTGTCTGTTGATGTAAATTGTTACAGTACCAACTAATCCAATGTGACTTGTGTGAGGACTTGTTCCAAAACACTCCTGTGAGACCAGTCCTTGCAGTTTGTAGTCTTTAAGGCTAGTGACAGATTTACTTGAATAAGGGATGAAAGATTTGTCCTGGTCTATGACGTTGTAAGTACAGATGAAATAGAGAGTTGAAATGTGAATTTTGACAGCTCTCATCCTTCTTCTGTTGTTTGAAAGGGTTTCTATTAGCAAATAACTAACAAACAAATCTTTATTTTGTCAGGGCAGGAAAGAGGAGGAGCTGCATTGAAATTGTTTGCTTTCACTAATATATATTGGGAACTGAACAGTATACTGTTCACTGGGGTTGCAGTCATTTTGCTGTCCCTGGAGAAACTCTGCCAAGAAAAGGAGTCACAGAGGGCAAGAAAGTTTCTTCCATTTCTTCTTACAGTGTTTGATCTGAGAGACTCTCTTCACTCCTTAATTTTGGTAGAAAAGGCAAGAGAGGCAACGTTGACATTAATGAGATGGTATGATAGAACTGAAAGGGAAAAAAAGGTATTGATAAATGAGGCTAGTGAGGTAAACAGGAGGCATGAGAGCAATTGCTAAAAGAGAAGGATTCTGTTTGAAACAGAATTTCCTGAGTTTGGAATTTAATTTGATTTCATAGCCGCAGCTCAAACTGGGACAGTGTGGACAATGTGCCCTAACACTACCTTTGAATTCTTGCAACACCAAAGCAGCATTTTTCAGGAGAATGTCTCCCCTCGGACTGCTATGGGGAGCTCAGCAGGATCCCAGTTCCTGCCTCTGGCTCCTGCAGAGTTCTTAACAGTACTGGGGGAAGGCTGGCTGGGAGCCCCTTGTCAGCTGTGGGATTACAGAGTCCCTGATTTCCTGCTTCTGTGACAGCCAGGGGCCTTTGGATCATAGCTCTAAGCTCAGCAGAAGCTCTGAGACTCTGCAGGTGGGAAAGGCAGGATTTTGCATCCCTGATTCAGGAGTATAGCTCAGCTGAGAATTTAGGAGGTGGCAGAAAGATCCCTCAGATGAAGGAAGCAAGTTCTTGCCTTCAATGCCAGCAAAGTTTTCTGGATCACAGCAGCCCCACTGAAGTCAGAGGAGAGGGACTGCACGATCTTGATAGACATAAGATCTTATCTGCATATTTTTTCTTCCATGTGCTTTATTAGCTTGAATCACATACAAACTTTGATTTGACAAACTTTGATGGCCAAAGATTTGAGCGACCTGGAGTGTGCATCTTTCCCAGTTCCCTCTGCCTTAAGGCATTGCAGCTCTTGCTTTCCCAACTACTGCCTGGTGCTAGGTGTTCTTTTGTGGCCAGAAAGAAGGTGCAGTGCTCTGTGGTATCCAGGAAGATTTGTGCAGGTGAACGTGTACAAACAGAGCCTCTTACATGAACAGTCTCTGTGGACAATGATCTTGGATGCATGTGCCAGCGTGGGGCTCAATCTCCCGTTCATGTCAGGAGGGAAACCTCCCATTCTCCAGCTGTCTGTGCCCCATAGATGTCCAGAGTGGCAAGTATTGTTCGAGCTGGAAGATGGTTGGCCTTTTTGGGAGAGGGAGTTGTGGCAGGGGTGGAATACACAGTGAAAGAGGTGAACACATTGGCTGGAGTACTTGGAGGTGTTTTCCTTGCACCATTAATGCATTAGTCTCTCTGTTTGGAAGAAAGACTCGGATACTTGCATCCGAGATAACTGTCCTGAGGAGCTTTATTTTCTTTAGCGCAGGAAAAAGCTTCACAGTGCTTGGCCGTGGCTATGCTAGTAAAAACAGGGCTCAAGCTTTGAGCACTGGCCTGCTGTTGTCTCGTTTGTATAAGTGTTAGCATCCTCATTGGCATGGTTTTGTCTGCCAAACCTCCTTTGGACCTTTGAAGATGATGCTAGGACATGGTTTGTGAAACAGCCTGGGTCAAGGACTGTCCCCAAAATATTGGCTTTATTTATAGCACTTGAGACCAACTTACGGAGTTTAGGTCCCTGTTTTACCTGATTTATTGTTTTTGTTTAATGATTAATGAATTCTAGGAAAGGGAAGAGCCTCATCAAGTCGATTGGTTTTACCTTCTAGTTGCAGGTCCATGTTGTGTGGGAAATACAGGTTCAAATTCTCAGCATTTCTCTGGTTTTAATAAATATTCGTTTCTGGTCACAAATCTTGCTGCTTGAACATTTGTTTCTATCAGAAGACTTGGTTTTAATGAATTGGCTTTGTTGAACAGAAGTATTTCATGTCAGAAAATTCCTGTCCAGCTCTAAAAATATGTTTGAAAAAGTAATGTACAAAAACTGAACTGGTAGTTTGCTGCTCACTGTGCATTTGGTAAATGCTACAAAGTTATCTGGAAAACTGAAGACTAGCACTGGGTCACTCTGGTTAAGCTCTCAGTCCTCTGGCTAGAGCTGTAGGGTAATCAGGGAAAAGGGCAAAGAGAGTAAAGCCAAACAGTGTAGTGAGGACTAGGACTAGGTTTTTGCAGCTATAATGCAGGTACTGCTTAGCATTTAAAATTAATCTGAAGATAATTTGATGCCATGTTGTTTCAAAGGATGCAACACTGAGTAGAAACTCCTGTTTAAAATTTTAAAACACTAGAAGTTCTAGCTTCCAATTGGTGGTCGGGGGACAGAGCCGGGGGAAGACGAGGGGAAGGCTTTGTCTCCTGAATGTCATGTTATCACACCATGAAAAAAACCATAGAATGCCTTGCTGATCATGCTGGCAGTGCAGTGCAGCGTGCTCCAACAGCTTCATCTGTACCAAGACTGCAGGATTTGCTTACTGCTGTGGTAGCCATCGTTTGCAATGGCTTGAGGTGTGAAGGAGGTTGTTGACTGATGCCCTGTCACTATTGGATGTGTGTGTTTTCCTTTTGTTTTCCTTTGCCTATTTATTTTTTATTTTTATTTATTTATTTTTGCCAATCCTTCAATTAGTTTACACTCCTTGCCAATGAAAACATTATTTTGGGAACATGATATGGTAAATTATCTCCCCTCTACTCAGGTCTGGTGAGGCCGCACCTGGAGCATTGTGTGCAGTTCTGGGCTCCACGGTACAAGAAGGACATTGAGCTTCTAGAGAGGGTCCACTGTAGAGCGACAAAATGATTAAGGGACTGGAACATCTATCCTATGAGGAAAGACTAAGTGAGCTGGGCCTATTTAGCCTAGAGAAGAGAAGATTGAGAGGGGACCTGAACAACATGTACAAATACTTGAGGGGAGAGTGTAAAGAGGATGGGGCCAAACTCCTCTTGGTGGTGGCCAGTGATAGGACAAGGGGTAATTAGCACAAATTGAAACACAGGAAGTTCCATCTCCATGTGAGGAAGAGCTTCTTTCCTATGAGGATGTCAGAGCCCTGGAACAGGCTGCCCAGAGAGGGTGTCTCCTTCTCTGGAGATCTTCCAAACCCATCTGGATGCCACCCTGTGCCACATGCTCTAGGTGTCCCTGCTTGAGCAGGGGGGTTGGACTACATGATCTCTGGAGGTCCCTTCCAATCTGAACCATTCTGTGATTCTGTGAAATTATCTCAGACTATAAAACTTACTGCTGAATTTACTTAACTGCTTTGTTAATACTTCAATATTAGGGAAAAAGGGGAAGCTGCCACATGCCAGTTTTGCAGAAGCCTTGTTGCTAGACTCACTTTACTGTAAAAGACCTCGAAGGCAGGACAGAGGTGCAGTGAGCCCAGCCTTCAAGAGCTAATCAAAACTATCTTATACAAGATGGCTCTTCATCTTAAGCGTCTAGTGTAAAACTGTTTTTATGTGGTGTCCTCATCTGCACACTTGACAGCTACAGTAATTTTGTCTGTTTTTTTAACAAAATGCATCATTGTAAAACCCACGTGCACACAGATTAATAACCCACCACCATGCTTGAATGAAGGTGTAGTAGCAAAACTGAAGTGTGCATTCACTGAAGTGTTTTGAAGTTCACAATGTACTGTGTTCTCCTTGCTCTTGTAGAGTTTTAGAATATTGTAGAATGCATATGATTATTGGGGAATTTCCATTTCTGTCTGTGTTTATTTTTCTTGTTTTAAAAACACTGGAGAAGGGAGGGACTTTAAAATGAGAAACTCTAGTATTTAGAAGAGATTTAGAATTTTAAATTCTTTTTGCCAGCAAAGTTTTGTTTATTGTCAACAATGGTGGGGTATATGTTGCACCCATCTTGGTATACCCACAATATGCCTTTTAAACCTTATATGTGTACAACAAATGCCACATATGTATTGAACACTTCTTGATTTTTGGATTTCTTTGGAGAAATTTTGTTACGAAAAGAGGAGTTAGTATCCCAAAGCAAATAAGCATTTATCCTCCCTTCTTGCTTGTGTCCCCAGTAATGGCTAATGATGTCTTTACCACAGCACTTGCTGCTGACTTTAGTGTGTGTTCATGCATTTGGAGTATCTCTACTGTCCTTTCAGGATATGATGCAGTTATTTTTGATAGGATAGCTAGTTTTCCAGTGAGACTATGTTATGAAAAATACTGTTTCAGGGGGAAAATAATTAGCTTTGTGCTTAATGCATGTTGGATGTTATTCAGAAAGAGGTACAGGATCTGTAGAGTGTTGACTTCTGTCTTTCTCTGTTTTGACCTCCTCTGCAGTATGATAATGAGAAGTCGTGTGATGTAAAATGTCACTGTGCTGTTAAAAGTGGTTCATGAAATGTTGCATTTTGGTGTAGGTACCTGGAACTGGAAAGCAGCGGTCATCGAAATGAAATCAGGTTGCATTATCGTTCAGGCAGCCATCGCTCCCACACGGAAGTGTTCCCCTATATTTTGGCAGATGATAAGTGGCACAGGCTTTCCCTAGCAATCAGTGCCTCTCACTTGATTTTACATGTGGATTGCAATAAGTAAGTAAACAGTGTTGATTCATAATAAGTCACATTTGGGGCATTGTAGCTCTGAGTAAATGAAATAACAAGTTGAGGTGTTTTGTTTTGTTTTGTTTTCCTTGCCCTTCAACAGAATTTATGAAAGAGTTGTGGAGAAGCCCTTCATGGACTTACCTACAGGTACAACCTTTTGGTTGGGACAGAGGAATAATGCACATGGCTATTTTAAGGTATGCACTCCTTGAAAGGAAAAGAGTGAATTTGGATAAAATGACTTCAGCTTATTCTTCCCTGAGGCAAATACTCTGTGATATGAAGGATCTGTTAACTGAGGCTGGTTTGGGTTCGTTCAGCGGGGTTAAGTTTAGTCTTACTGACAAAGACAGGTAGATGGGATGCAAGGTGATGCTGGCCATGTTACTTCTGCAGCTGGGGTCTGGGTGGAACAAGGAAGGTGAGACTCATGTATGTGGAGGATTGTCTGTTGGAAGGACTCAGCAGAAATAAAGCATTCATCGGGAAGAAATGTTCAGTTTGTTAGAGTAGGTTGAAAACAACTTATTGGTAATCATATTGCACTTCTTAATGCATGGTGTGTCATATGCAGCAAACTTCTTGTCAGCCACTCATTCAGTTGTGTTTCCATCAAACTGGATTTCCCTAAATAGGTAAAACTAGCCAGACATATAAGGCTCAGTTTTGCCAAAAGCCATTGCCGAGAGCAATTTAAACGTTGGAAAAGTCAATGGCCAAGTGATAAAAAATCATAGGAAATAGATAGTCAGGTTATTGTCTGTTCCACAGCTAGATGCATTCCCCCACTCTAAATATTATTTCATCTGTCTGGAGGACTTAGTTTCATTATTATTATTATTAATTAATTAATTATTGTTTTTTTAACATACCAATCGCTGTGGTGTCATAACATCTTCTGGGATTAGAAATGAATAAGATGACTAGCATCAATGAAGAGAATGCTCCTTCCCTCAGAGGAAAAAAAAGCACGAACAGGCTTTTTGCTTACTGTGTTGTCTTTAATGTGGGTATACGTAGCAAGAACCTTGTGCATAGCAAGGTTGAAGTGAATTCTCTTTGGATCGGAGTGTAAATTTTATAACTCCCGAGTCCCTTATGTAGCATTCATTGGTCACAGCCACTGTCTGTGCTTTGGCTTCAGGTGTCTCGGGAGCTGCTTTAACAAATGGTGACATCCTCGTGGGTGCCTTGCAGCGCTGCACTCCCATTTACCTTCCCCCCCGGTATCCTTTTACCTGAGCTGCAACGTGTAATTGATGTCTTGTCACAGGGCCAATCACACTGTTAAATATGGCCTGCTAAATCTTTTCCAGGATAAAACACTGTGACTCCTGCTGCAAATTCTGTGCTTTTGTGCTAAAATCAGTTTTTAGGTGTTGAAATACTGTACTCTGTACTCAAATGGTACTTTATATTCCTGATCAGTAGAAGGTATGGAGATCTAGTGAAGCACACAGAATTGAAAACTGAAGCATGAGTTTGTTCTTATTTTTCACTTTAGTATGTGATTCCTTTTCCTGCGGAAGATTGAGAGGATGCATGGTAAATGAGTTGCAAAAGCATATTTCTGGCTTAAACAAACAATTGAATATCAGAATAAAATCAGCAAATATCAATTCAAATGGATGAATTGATTTCAGACACACTTCCTCTACTCTGTGTTTATAATTAATATATTGTTTAATATCACTTTTATTTGTCTTCCCAATTCTTGGCTTGATTAAATTCTTCTTTTCCATATCATAGTCACTGCAATTTGGTCACAGATGATTTAGTGTAGCAAAATAACTACTCCACTTGTGGACAATATTTGTTTGTTTCTTATGAAAGATAAAATGAAAGATAAAAACAGGGAGAGCTGTGCCTCAATTGCAAATACAAGTCAATTTCACAGAAATACAGTAAGGAATTGATAGTTGTTAAGATAACACTAAAAAATACAAATGTTCTAATTGATTTCTTCAGTGTAATGCGTTAAAAATGATCTGACCACATCTGAAAATGTTGTCCGTAAAGTGGCTACCAGGGAGCCCAGGTAGCCTACATGTCACAGCTCCATATGGACAACATTTTATGGACACTGTTGTCTATAAAATGCCCACAAGACTATTCTCAATCAGCCTTACTGTTTTGGAGCACCTGTATTTTTAGACACACACTGTGGGACATCTACTGATCTGCTTTTCAGAGGTCCAGGTTCTTAGTTCCTTCTGAAAATCAGGCTGCTTTGAGTGCATCTCAAATGGTTGTTTGTATAGCAAGGCACCCAAAATCATTAGTCACTCTGGGAAATGCTTTATTTGGCTGTTTTTCATTTTGGACCTAATCTTTCTCCACTAAAACAGTATCCCAAGATTTTAGACATATTCACCATGCAATATATTCATATCTGTGCCATTTTTAGGTGCTTAAATCTGAGAGGGCAATTCTGGCTGCCTGCTTTATGGTACTATGTGATGTCTGTAGGTATCTGAGAGCCAGTGGTGCTTTAGCGTAGGAGCCTGTGCCCAGCCTTTCAGGTACTGTCAAAAATTCCTGATTTGGGAGCCCGGGTAGCCTAAATGTCACAGCTTTCTGTTGCTAAGGAGGATGAAGAAGAATTCCTGGTGAGTGGCAGACTCTGGCTTGCATCACGGCTGATGGGTGACAAATGAAGGTCCTTACATAGGAAAGGAACTTTACTGTTAATGGATAAGTGACTCAAACACTTGACTGTGTAATTAGAAAAAGATGTGTGTTAAGCTCCTCAGGAAAGAACTTAGGGAACTTTTCAGGAAAGTTCCATCAACATAACAGTTGATGTGAGTTTGAACTTCGCTGCTGAGAAGGACAGGGAAGCAGGGTGACCACCAGGAGCTGAAAATAAGGGTGCTCATCAAAAGGTCTTTGCTCCTGATTTCCAGCCCAGATGCTCTGGGAGGTCCTGATGTGAAGTCCTCCCGTAGCCCTACCTGTGTTACTGCTAGCTAATAACAGCACCTCCTTGTGTGGCATGGAGAAGCGTCCAGTTGCCCTGAAACGTTGCTTTGCTTTTAATGGAAAAAGTAGGCTTGTCCCACAGGCCACTGAGGCTGCCCGAATCAAGCACATGAGGTCAAAAATTTGTCTCTTTGCCTTTGTAATAAGGATACTGAATCCTTTATTGGATGAAATGACCTTTTGCATTTAGTTTATATTGTTCTTTGTGTCCTGAAATATTCCTTTCATAAGCATGCTAATCAGTCTGCTTTCTCTTCTAAGAATGAGTATGAGATACAGGGAAGGAGTCATGGATGAAAGGGACCTCTGGGGCATGTATGATAGGATGGCTCATTTTTAAATGGATGTTTGGCCTTTGTTTTAAAAGAGGAGCAAAGCTAATTATATCTCAGTGTCTAAGGAGGCATGTAAATTCTGCCTGTAAGCATGTGATCTGTTCTTCTGGGTGAAATGGGGCATTTCCAGATGGCATGTTTAAATTTCATGCTGAACTTCCTATTCTCTTAAATTCTTGCCAACATGCAGCTCTGCAGCTGTGTGACAGATAGGTAGTTTCCTAGCGTTCTGCTTGCTTTATGAAGAGATCCACAACAAGGTCATAAAGGGTTTGCATGAATGTTTTTCCCAAGTCACATTTCTTTAATCTTCACTTCTATTTGACAGTTGCAGTTTAGTGAAAAATTAGCATATTATTTAAGAGTTTCAAAGTCACTGGAACTGTTTTTTAAATTACTTTTAAAGGTCATTTTCAAGCTTTCCTGCAGTGGCTAACTAAAAATAACAATGAATTCAAAACAACCGACTCTTGTCACATAATTATATCTCGACATTTAATCTTATGTCTTTAAAAATGATCCTCTATGTCTGTACATGTATATCCACCTGCTTCACTTTCTTTGTATTCTTCTATCTCTGTATTCATAAATATTACTTTTGTTAGGCAGGTTTTCTGTGTGGTTTAGTGTTTTGTGGGGTTTAGTGTTTTGCGTGGTGAATGGAAAACATAATTTTGACAGATAAAAATAATACTTTTTTTTTTCCTCCCTACTTACAGGGGATAATGCAAGATGTGCAATTACTTGTCATGCCTCAAGGATTTATTTCTCAATGCCCAGATCTTAATCGCAGTAAGTCTATTAATTCTTGCACTGTAAAATGAAAGGCCTCTTGACTAATTTCTGTCCTGCAAGCTTTCTTAAAACCTTGACCTTCAGTGTATTGATTGTAAACATCACCATGATTGAACTTATTGTGTATATCTATTTTGGTTAATATGTATTTGTAATTCTAGCATGTCCGACTTGTAATGACTTCCATGGACTTGTGCAGAAAATTATGGAGCTGCAAGACATTTTAGCCAAAACATCAGCTAAGGTAATGTTCCTTAGGAGGCATGGCATAGGAAAACTGAGGACTTTGAGGCTTAGTTGCCTTAATCTTAATTTTAGATGATTTGTATGTTTGTGTGGATGTGCATGTGGGTGTATGTGCAAAATGCTATGCAATACAAGTGGACTGAAGCAGGTTGCTATGCTTACAGTGCTTATTTCAGCAAGGTTTCTTGGTCCAAGATCTTTCTAAATCTGAGCTGCCGGGAGAACTTTCAAATCAATTATATGCAAGACAGGCAACAGAGAACCCTTTTGCTTTTGGAAGGTCATGCAAAAAACATTTGTGGTTGCCAGTAAGCGTATACAATTTAAAGCATTTCTTAGTGTCCATTCCAAAGATGTCTTCCGGAATGAAATCACCTGGTTAATTTGATATACAAATTACAAAAAATGTCTTGGCTCAATTGGAGGAACAATTGCTAGTTAGTTTTAACTTTACCTCCAGTTTTTGAACTCACCACTCAGACTGCAATTCTTTTCTGTAAAACCTACTCCTCTAAGTAGTTTATGTAGAGCAAGATTCCTGCTCAGTTCACATAAACAAAGATGAAAAATCAGAGACCATATAATCTAAACCTTAATCCTTATGCCATGATGTTCCTGGTGTTTTTAGTGAAAGATGGAATGCATTAAATCTTTTTTTTTTCTCTGAATGATCATATAATTATTTCATATTTGACAGTAACAATCTTATCATCTTTGCATATCAGACATGCATTTTCTTGTTTACATACTTGGTGAGGAGAGAGTTCCAACTAAAACCCACTTTTTGTGACCCACGTATACAGCTGTCCCAAGCTGAGCAGAGGATGAATAAGTTGGATCAGTGCTACTGCGAAAGGACCTGCACGATGAAAGGCACGACCTACAGAGAATTTGAATCATGGACAGATGGTTGTAAGAACTGCACTTGCATGGTATGGCTGCAATTGGAGTTGGAGACTCAGCAACCCTAATGCTTGCTTTAATTAGAGTTTTACTGAGTCCAAATAATGAGAAGACTTCCAGTGTGTACGCTAGGTAGAAACAGCAAAGTCATAGAAAACCTATCCTAAATCCAGAATACTATTAATTGATACATTTTCCTATCATTTCAGCAGTGCCAGCATATGTCGCTCTTCCAGATTTTATGCCTATGTAGGCAGATGCTATGCAATATATTTTTCTGTCATGTTATTCCCATGCATTGAATTGCAAACAGTTTCTCTGGGTAATTAATTCCCTGGTTCTTTTATCACTAAAAACACATCTTTGTTCTTAGCAAATGATTTAATAGATCCCTTGTGTCTGATTTCCATTTAGTTTCCTTTGGTTACATCTCAATAAGTAATAAAGAGTAAAATGTCAGGGTTGTATGCAAGTTCTAGTGTATCAAAAAAAAAAAAAAAAGGAAAAAAGTGAAGCATATGGAGGCCTTTCTAAAGTATCAGGACTCCAGAAATGGTTGCAACTATGCTTTCAAATACTGGACCATGGTATCCTAGTTAATGTCCATTCATTTAAAACTCATTAATTCCATTTAGACTCATTAAGTGCCTAATCCAAAACGCATCAGAAATTGGTGGAAAGGCTTCTATTCCCTGTACTGCACTTAGATTAGCTTACTGATCTTGTCTGTGTTTTGCTAAGATATTCTCCTTGTGTCTAATTTCATTTTGGTCTGTTTCTAGAGGGGTATTAGCTTTGTTTTTAATGCTTGTAGTTGCGTAGAAGATTTCTTAGTCCCTATTATCAGACCTTGCTGAATGTCACCTAACAAATGCATTCAAAGCATTTTAAATGCATTATATATCTCGTCTCAGACTTTTCTTGCAGCCATAATAATATTTCAAAAATATACTCTTAGGTAAAAATTGGGAGACAGTATTGCTTTATGAGGCTTTTATATTTCATACTAATTTATCATTTTGCTGCTGACTAGCAGAAAAATTTTTAGCTGCAAAAAGATTTGCCTCAAACAAGAACACTAAAAACTTAAATCACTATCTTCTCAAGCACATCATACACATCTAAAACATTGTGAATGGTGTTTTAAGGGTGTAGTTTCTATGCATGTCACTATTAAAAGAACCACATTAAGATATTTTTGAGGGTATTGTCAGAGTTTACTGTACTTAAAAATAGCTTGCATACTCACACCTTTGAGGAAAATCTTTTCTTGCTAAATGCAACTGTTAGTTAAGTGTCTTTTTTTCTTCTAGAATGGTACTGTGCAGTGTGAAGCTTTGGTTTGCCCCTTCTCTGATTGTCCACTCAATTCTGCCCTGGCATATGTGGATGGCAAGTGCTGCAAGGAATGTCAATGTAAGTTTTACTGTGTTTTTTCCTTCTAATGAACGTCCTGAAATCTGTAAAGACTAAAAAATGAACATTTTAGTAAAAATATCCCTGAAAGAACTGGTTAGGGAATTACATATTTGGACTGGGAAATTCTGTAAAATATTTTGGTAAATTGATAACCAAAATGCTTTCATTTTTCAGTTGAGGCTATTTTGCTTTAGTTCAGTGATTAAGCCTGCAGGCCTTTTCTTATTTATCTTCTAGTGAAATCTACCTGACAGGTAGAGACTTGAGAGTAAATGGCTTTGTTTATTTTGATGAGTTTT